GTTATGTTGTTTGTAAATATCGATCCATCCAAATAGGTATATGCTACTTCGTCCCAATATCACGAGAGCTTTCTCCGCTATCTTTTTCTGACTCTAGAAATGCATTACTTCATTGTTATATTTGTCCTTATCATGATTTTATCTTTCACTTTATTTTCCTCCTTGAATGACTTTGGCTCATTGAAATTAATTCTCTATATTTTTCAATAGCATAGCGGACTCTATCGCCAACCCTACATTAGATGTATGTTAATTGATTAAACCATTATAAAATTTATGCTCTATCCATGGGACATCTTCACACACACTTTCTCTCTTTGTCTCTCTCTTTCACATCTTTTTACCTCTACGTAGAGTAGCTCTTTTTTATGCTATCTCTATTTCCAAATTTTACACACACATTCTTCCTCCAATCTCCTGGGGTAGATGAGTTATCACCATTTATATTAATTATCATACTTTACTTAGAAGAAAATAAGGAATGGCCATCTTTGAAGACCTTGATAAAGACTGCATATTGATAAAATTATTGCACAAGTTTTCTCTCTATAATGTGAGGAGAAAGATAAAGGAATCACTTCACCCTAAATACACTATTTGTATCTTGACTAGTGCTCTGTTTACATTTGTGAATCACATCACTACATTAACATCAAATTAAACAATATTATTTTTTTGCCATTATCTCTCTATTAATATCATCATTATATGAAGTTTGATCAATACTTTTTTCTTTCGAATAACAAAAGCGTTTATGTCTTGTAAAGCAAAAGTATGACTTTGCAATAAAAGCTTCCTTAGAAAGAATAGACAGCATCATAAAGCAGTCAAATAAAAAGTAATAATTTGAAAAACCTTAAAAATATATCTAGATTCAAAGCGTATTATCCAATGAAGAAAACATGATGAAGGAAAAAACAACTAAAACAAAGTTCTCATGAGTATAGTCTTCCAATGAGGTACACGAACAAATTAATTTCTAGAAGGCCGACTCGAAGAAGCATGCACCTGCTAAATGAAAGGTAAAATGTTGAATCTAAGGCTTTCTATAGAGAAATAAGATGACATAGATCTAATCGAATTAAGATAAAAAAAACTCACCTCCACCCAAAAATTGACTTGAATGATATGTGCACACTAAAAATGTGACCATGTTGATTTTAAATGGATCTAATGGAACTGAAGGCCTGCTAGATGACCGAAGATTTGCAAGACGACAGAAGGGCTGCCGGATGATTGAAGCGTAGGTAGACGGTTGAGGACTTACCACACCCAAAACGTCCAGGTACACAAAAAAAAAAAAAGCCAAAATCAATTACAAATGTAAAAAGACATGACAAAAGATAATAATCTCCTATAACTCTCTTAGTAAAGTAGAGGTAGACATATAATTTTTCATCTTTAGCCCTCATCTCCTACAAATTGGAATTCTGTATAGTACGAATTCCATACTCTTGAGGCATGTTTTCGGTGACTTCATCCAAAGGACCTTTGGACATATCTACAGTTGCTCAATAAATTCAGCTTTCTCGATTTCACCTGGAGATTGACTTAAGATTATAGTGCTCTTCAAAAAGTAGTAATTTTTGCCTCAAAACAACTTTTTGGATGGTGCTCCAACACCCTTTTTTGGCTCCTAATTAGTGCGGACTTTTATAACAACTTGTTAAGTAACTACACAACTTGATATAGAGGACCTGCCAATATAACAAATCTCATCGACCTCATTCAATGTGGAACTCTACACAAGTCACCAAGTACTCGGACATTAATACGCGTCATAACTTGGATACGCGGCATAACTTGGCCGAAAAAAAAAAAAAAAAAAAAAAGAGTAACACATTCTAATAGACATGTGCCGCATCAAGATTATTAAATATTACACAAATTTAACAAAATTAACATAATTTCTTCTTAGTTTTGGCTTGCACTATTTTTTCTCTAAAGCTGCTAATGTCTTCCACATAAATAGTTGAACCCAACATCCGCGTGTTCCAGATGTGGAAGTGCAGAAGCCCGGTGTTAACTATTCTCGTTATGGAAACCAAAGAGCCAAACATTACGGTTCAATGCATCGTGAGAAGTGGAACCGACTCGGCCGTTGACATCAATGTTTTATTTGTAGAGGCAAATGACGAAAAGCCAATGTTCACTGCCTTACTCTTATAGACGAACATCAAACTAGCTCCCTACAAACCAATATTTCAGGAGCAACAGATTCTTCTATCAATAATCGAACAATGGCCGGAAAAACCATTTAAATGTCAATTTTTTAAAGGTGGACGGAGAAAGTTTCATAAATTTTTATTTTAAAAAAAGTTTTTATTTTTATGTAAAATAAACTTTAGGTAGATTTTTAATTTCTTTTTATGAGAAGGCATAGGAGTTGAGAAAAAGTTAAAAGACCTATGAACAAACATTTGACATGCTAAAATGCTTTCAGAGAAGCTCTCCAAAGCTCAACTCCTGCAACTATGTACAGCTCAAACACATTCTCCTTCCCTCCCTCTTCATTCACCATTTCTGACTAACAAGAATAGTGAGTGCTGTGCATAATCCTCTTCAACTTTTCCAGAATCCCAGCAGCCTTCCTCATGGACCTTGAGGTACCCCCGCAGGCCAGCTTCGAAATCGTCCCGTTCATCTTCTCCTCCTCCCCCACCTCTTTCAACTTCCTCCTCACACTGGAACAAACCGCATACAACACCACCACTGCGTTCTCCACATTCTTCACACTTGTCCCCTCCCTCAAAACCTTCAGCAACAGGGGCACACCGCCGCCATCCGCCACCTCTTCAGCAGCCTCCTGATACGCTGACAGCAATGCCAGCAATGCTAACGATTCATCCATGATTGTCGAAGAGCTGTTGGCAATCTCTGCAAGGCAAGCGTCGACTGCACCCGCCTTCACCGCCCGGACTTTGTTCTCATTCAACATACAGAGATTGAAGATGGCTGATGCGGCGTCCTTTTTGGCAGCCGGGCTTCCAGTCTCAAACAGATCGATCAGCGGTGACATTGCGCCCAATTCTCCAATCCTCACCTTGTTGGAGTCTAGAGCCGAGAGGGTGAACAGAGCGGCGGCGGCGTTGCCGAGGGTGTTCATTGTGCCGCCTAAATTCATCGATTGGATGAGAAGCGCGACGCCATTGCTCTCTCCGATGACTTTTTTGTTAGCGTCGTGGATGGAGAGGTTGAGCAATGCGGTAACTGCGTCCTCCCTAAGCTCGAGATCGTCAACAGCAGCGGATAAAATGGTAAGCAGTTGCGGAATGGCGGTAGGATCTTCGCCGACGAGCGCTCGGAAGGATCGGCTTCGTTTTGTGAGCTGGCGGAGGGATTTGACTGCTTGTTTGCGGTCGGCGGTTGAAGGGGAGGAGAGGTCGGTGAGGAGGGAGGAGAAGGTGCAACGATCTGAGTAGGTGATGAGGCCATCGGTGTCTGGGTTTTCTGGCGGTCGGAGATCGACACCATGGGTGGCGCACCACAGGGAGATCATGTTGCGGACGAGGTGGTTGGGGGTGAGGATGGTGGTAGAGAGGACTTGCTGTGTTTGGGGACATGTTCTGTTTCCGGAGCTGAGCCATTCTTGGATATAGGCTCTGTCATAGGTCTGCAAAAAGTAACGCACAGCATTGATGCAGGTTGGAACAGAAGAAATAAAGAGCAGAGAATGATGCGTATAGAAATTAAATAAATAACAAAAAGAAAAACAATCCGAGTTCCTAATGGTGAACAGATTAGTGGAAGAATCAATAAGAGTTAAGGAATTGAGGTTAGATCCTCAAATATGGGAACGGTTACAGGAAAAAGGAAAGGACAGCATTTATGAGAATTGCAATTAGTCACTTAAAAGGAGAATTGGAAGCAAAAAATGCAGTGTGCTGAATGAAAGCTGTTTTGCAGAGGCTAAGCAAGTGGCGCAAATAATAGAAGAGAAGATGACAAAAAAATATTTTAAAAAATTCAGAGAACCAACAATTAAATTAGGTATTATTTATTTTTATTTAAAAAAATATTGCTCTAATTCATAAATCATAACTATGACACGAGTCTTTTTATAAATTTTTTATCAACAATTAAATATCTCTCGTAAGAACCACCTTACTAAAAAAAAATCAGTAAAAAACGCAGACCGAAAATAATAAAATGTGAAGTAATGAATTACTGCATCGAAATGGATATTAGGTGTAAGTGAGTAGAAATTCTACTGCTTAAAATTTTCAAAAGACGTGACATGATCGGGTTCCGATCTTAATATATGGAAACTTTGGAAAACTTGATGTGGCGATTTCAAGAAAACAAGTTCGAAGATAAACCGTAATGGATTTATAAAAAAAGAAAAAAGAAAACAGAGCATCTTGAATCCTAAACCCCAAACAAATAGCGTCCGTTTCAAATCTGTAAGTGCAGGAAGAAACCCTAATTCGAAGCATTCGTACCTCACCGGTTGCAAGAACGACAGGATCCCTCATGATCGCTGACGAGAGCGGACATAAGAAGTGCTTCGGAATCGACACTGACGCTTGCGTCGAAACAACCGATTCGATCGCGCTCGTCGCATTCTTCTCAGACAGCTGCTGATGCTTCACCTTGTCGTCGGATGCCGGCGGCGGTCGCTTCCCTCCGATCATCCCGGCGGCGGAGCCAACTCGCAGCTCTTTAAGCGCTGCGATTACCTCGGAGGCCTCCTTGTAGGTCTCCGCTCTCCCTTCATCTTCCTCCAAGATCGCCTTTATGAGTCTCCTCAGTTCTTTCTTCAGTTCTTCCGCCGTCCTCCTATCAGAAATCGCCGTCCCCTCCGCCGCGCCGGACTTTGCCATCGACTTCCCTCTCCTGCCTATAAATCTTACGGATCTCAATCTCAAAAACCCTAATCGAATTGCTGGTTTTCTGCTTCACTGGCTTCCTCTTCCTCCTCTTCGTCTTCGCCTTGCATCTCTCTGTCTAAAAAACGAGATGAGATGTGGCGTTTACAGTTCACCGGAAGTCTTCTTTAATACGCCTCTTAATACAACGAAGGGGCACGAGTGTGATACAAATATGCAATGTTCTTCGTTACTCTTATCCTGATCCGCGGAGCAGGTTTAAATCGGGACCACCCGTCCCCGGTGCCGGTGGTCCAGGCCGCGATTTCTACAAGGGTTAACCGCGGGGTGACCGGGAGAATCTGCTGGCATTATGGTAGGACCCACATGGCAAAACTGAGAATGGGTGACCCACGCGTTCCACAATCATGGTAACGTGGCTGGACAGCTGGCAGTTATTTAGATTTTTATGGAAAATTGGAATTTCAGTTTAAAGTTTCTGCCATATTGTTGATGTTGCTTCCAGGCTTACTGCGTCTGATCGGGCCAGAGCAATTGTGACGGCAGTTTTTTTTTTTTTGAATAAATTGATAATTTTTCCCATTTTAATTTAACTTTGATATACTTATGTGAGATTTTACTTGTGTGGAGTCTATGTGACATTAACCCTTGGTCAGTTTTTTTTTTTTTTTTTTTTGGAATAATTTGATAATTTTTTCCATTTTCATTTAACTATGATATACTTATGTGACATTTTAGATGTGTGGAGTCTATGTGACATTAACCCTTGGTCAATGCATGGAAAGAAAGGGAGATGGGTCCAACCACTCCAAAGTGGGTTGGGATGGTTGTTAGAGGGGCTGAACACTCCCTCTCTCATCTCCTTGGGGAGTCATTTGGTATATGAAGAGGTGATGAAAATGTGCTTATGTGTATCATGTTTTTGGTACTGTTGCTAGGAACACAAGGTGTAGTGCCACATTGTTGCACATATAAGGTTCTAGAATTCATAGTACCCATTTAATATTATAAGCAATGCATCCATAGGCGCACTAGGCGCAGTCGTGTTGGTCACCAATCCAATAGTTCCTCTGATACATCTCTAACTGAGCAGTTAAGGCACTGGCGTAGAAATCAGATTGGCATTTATTTTTCTAATTATGATGCACCATGTGATCAACAAGATCATAAACAGTAGTCTGGATGGCGAAAATGTCCTCCTCTATGATCTTCATTTTGGCTGACATAGAAGTCATACTAGTGGAGGGTCGAGGCAGAGAATAGGATGTGATCAACAAGATCATAAACAGTAGTCTGGATGACGAAAATGTCCTCCTCTATGATCTTAATTCTGGCTGACATAGAAGCCATACTAGTGGAGGGTCGAGGCAGAGAATAGGAAGTAGTGGGCTGCGAGATGGAAGACTAAGAAGAACTTGCTTCGAGCCCCAAAAACAGAGTGTTTATCATATAACATCACATTAGCTTTAAATATGAGCTTCAATGGATGAAACAACTCCTCCCACCCCTCAAAAGTGACACTTGATTGCTGACAAAGGGCAAAAATAGTAGAATTGTATCTTAACCCTAAAGTAGATCCCCCCTTTGTAGCATTGAAAATAGAGTGAAAAATCAAAGCCCCAATATTGATGGATTTCATGATTTGAATGCAATAATTGAGAGCAACTCTCTCTTGTCACCTCACTCAAATTGGTTGAGGGCAGGATCTTGGTATAAATCAAATAATGCCAAGCCTTGGAAGGTGCATTAAGTTTCGATGGAGAAAAAACTGACTTTATGGTCATTTCTCACCTTCTAAGTCCCTCTCCCGCTAGTTAAGAAATTGATGATTTTATCAAAGTCAGAATTAGAAGGGACAAAGTTGGAGTAGTAACTCCCCGGGAAATCTTCCAATGAAAACCACACATTGATGCACGAAGGGGAGATAGCTACTCGCTTCTCCCTCACATAAACAAAATCTGCATAGGCATTAGGGAAGTTGGCGTAAGACTTTCGAACTATAGGAACTACAGCTACACAAGTGATGTAGCAGAATTCCTCCCACTTATGTCTCACAATCATACTCTCCACTACTTCTACGAGGTTGATAAAACCTCGCTTAGCAATCAGTTTCTTTGCTACCAAATGGTTATTATAACGCACTTGAGCTTTGGAGCTTACAAATTTCATTTTTTTACACGAGCCATGAAAGAGTAAAGATGATGGAAATACACAGAAATGACGTAGAAAGTGATGGTGGGTGCACATAATATGAATGTTATGGGCTAAATCAAGCTTTTCCCCAAGAAATTTTCAAATCACCTAAAATCTCAAAAATTCCCAGTTGAAGAAGAAAAATCAAGCTTATGAAGAGAAGTTTACCTCATATAAATTATTTCCACTCTCTAAAGCTTCATAAATCAAGCAAAAATTAAAGATATGGGGAAGCCCTAAGTATCGCCTCTCTATCGTTGAAGGAGAGTTGGAGAGGAGTCGTCGAGAAAAAACTTAAACGAGCCTCTCTATCGTTGAAGGAGAGTTGGAGAGGAGTCTTTGAGAAAAAAACCTAAATGGAAACGAAACTAGTTTAGGCAATTTATCGCTTAGGTAGGAGTGGCGCCTAGGTGCCGCCTAGGCCCCGTGATAGTGGTGCCAATGCCTTGCTCCTTTTGTCTGGAGCCTTGGCTCCTAGGCGCCAAAATGACTTGTTCTTTTGAAGCCAGGGTTACTAGCTTAGATGCGCAAGGCCCATATTTGGTCCCGGTCATAAAATTTATAATATTTGCTCCTCCATTTGTCTTAATTCTCACAAAATCCTAGATTTGTGATAAATGAGGGTTACTCGTTTTCCTTCTCATCACATCTCCATTCTCTATCACCTAATCTCCAACAAAATCTCCTTCCATTTACTGAAGCGTGCTTTATATATAATTTGTAAGGAGAACCATCTGAGTTAGGTAACACCTATACTATTAAGATTGGCTCATGTGTTGCCAGTCTTAAGTGTCACCCTGCCCAATAAAGTATGCATCTCTTTCAGTTCAACAAAAAGAAACATCCTCTAACCCCTTCTTGTAGTTGGTCAGTTGAACTAATAAAAAGAACCATATTAGAAATAGGAAGTAAGGAAGTGAAATGGACTAGACATATGCCTAAACTCTACATGACTCTGAAAAATACTATTCTTGATTGAGAACTAGGGTATAAAGGATAACATTGTTCCTTCTAACGTCAACAGTCATACTAAAGTCTAGTTACAACGAGAAGACTAATGATTCACTTTCTTACGTAACATTGTTCCTTCTAACGTCAACAGTCATACTAATGATTCACTTTCTTACATCACACAATCACAATCAAAGCATTTCAACACAAACTTAAACATTCAAATTCAAGAAAACCACATCACAACAACAAAAAGCACTTTTAAAGTACATCGCATGGGTGGCCTCCCAAGAAGCGCTTAGTTTAAGGTCCTCGACCTGACGATTTCAGATATTACATGAGATGCCCCAACATTAAAATCTCTTTTACCTGCAACTTTTTCCATCCTAAATAGGGTTTAAGTCTCTGTCCATTTACTTTAAATCTCTACCGCTTTTAGGATCCTTAATATCAATAGCGCCAAAGGGATGAAGTTCTACTACAGTAAATGGTCCTGACAACCTAGATTTAAGATTTTTTAAAATAATTTTAATCGAGAATTAAGCAGTAAAACCTCTCGTCCAAGCTCAAAATCCTTCCAAAAAATCTTTCAATTATGTCATTTCATCATTTTTTCTTTATAAATTCTGACATTTTTGCAAAGATTTTTGCATAATTTCTTCAAGTTCATTTAACTATGATAGTTTCTTCTCACCAGCTTCCCTTATATTATAATTGAACTCTTTAACAATCCAATAAGTTTTATGTTCCAATTTTATTGGTAAGTGACAAGCTTTGCTAAATATGAGTCGATATAAAGACATTCCTATGGATGTCTTATATGCAGTTCTGTAGGCCCATAATGCATCATCTAATTTTAAAGACCAATCTTTCCTATTATGTTTGACAATTTTTTCCAATATCCTCTTATTCTCACAATTAGAAACTTTTGCTAAATCACTTATTTGAAGATGATATGTTGTGGCAATCCAATGTTTAATTCCATATTTAGTAACTAATGCCTCAATCATTTTTTTATAAAGTGGATTCCTATATCACTAATGATCACTCTAGGCATCCAGAATCTACTAAAGATATTTTTCTTTTAAAAATTTAACAACACTTCGAGCATCGAAATTTTGTAGAGCCACTGCCTCAATCTATTTTGAGAAATATTCCACAACTATCAGAACATATATATTACCAAACAAGTGAGACAAATCTGAGGATATGAGAACATGTAATGTAGATGACTTTCTTAAGTAAACATATTTTAGGTATTTGAGAAGCACCTTTATCTTAAGTTTAGAGAGTTCCTCAATAGAAAGAATAAGAGGTTTACTATTTTCTATTGTATTAAGAATCTCAAACCTCTCCTAAAAAACTTTTGAACTATCAGTAATCAATAGAGCATATTCATCCTAACACTAAGAAATATTCTCCTCATCCAAATCTTGCTCTTTTGATTTACTTTCATAATTTTATCAAAAATGATTGATACATAAATAATCAATTAAATACATCCAAAAACAAACATCTTCATTTCCTTTAGAAGGATACTTCATAGATTCTAATACATTTGAATTTATCTCATGATCATTAACTCTTATTGTTAATTTACCTTTCCACACATCTATCATTACTTGTCCAGTGGCTTGAAAAGGACTAACTAGTATAATGAGAATTTCTTTATCATCCTTCATATCTAATATATTGAAATCAATAAGGAAGATAAATTTATTCACTTTAACATTAACATCCTCTATAACCCATTTTGAATAAATGATCGACCGATCAGCCAGTTGAAGAGTTACAGTATTAGGAGAAACTTCTCCTAATCTTAACATTCTGAAGATAGATAATGACATAAGGTTTATATTCGTTTCAAGATCACATAAATCTTTGCCATAAAATCTTTCTTTAATTGCACAAGAGATAGTAAATCTCCCATGATCCATAAGTTTTTGAAAAAGCTTTTTCAGAATGATAGCACTAAACTCATCACTGAGTGCAACTGTCTCATAATCTCCAAAATTTTTCTTCTTATTGAGGATGCCTTGCATGAATTTACATAACTGGGCATTT